ATTTGTTCGTTTCGATTTTAAGCGATATTAAATTATACCAATAGTATCATAATTGCAAAACAGAAATATTTAAATAACGATAACTTTAAAAACCTATACTTTTATGAGAAGAAGTACTAAATTACTTTATGGGAAAGTAGTACCTAACAAAGTACTGTCTAGTGTGCTGAGTATAGTAATGACTAATCGATTAAATAATCTACCAGTGCCATTTTTGCAAAAAAATAACTTTCTCTGGCTTACATTTTGCAAACCTAAATCTTGTCGTAAAGAACAGATAAATTAACAAGTTAGAGTGCTACATTCGGCTAAGCCGAATCTTAAATACCCCTTCACCAGCTACTTTAATAATAACACTTTTTTAATTGATCAAATATTTGTAGAAATAAGTTTTCGTATTTTTTAATAGAAAACTACAATATTTAAATAGATTAAATCTGCTATAAATGCAATTTTTATTGAACATTACAAACACCATTTTTTAATATTTTTATAGGGCCCTAAAATATACTTTAGCGATATTTAATAATTTGTAAGTATGCATGTGTGTTAAAGGTTTAAGGAAATTCAAAACAAAACCCATATTTATAAAGTTGTTGATTGTTTATTGTAGGAATTTTGCATAGAAAATGTGCGTAATAAACCTAAAATAAACGATTGATATCTTTATGAATACAGGGCAAAGTTTTATACTAAACTAATTAAGTACGATTAAAGTGATTTTCGGGAAGTGTCCGAATCAATTGTAGACCGATCGTAAAAAATTCTTCCAGCTACATATCTGTATATAAAATCAAAATATGGACCGATAGTGAATAAATTTTAAAATAACATTTTTGTGTGTAAAAGCAATATTTCTGCCAAATATTGTATGGATATCATTATTTGGTAATGAGTTATATGCATTTAAGTGTTTTTCTGAAGGGGAAGCTATGACCAATTGTGGACCGATCCGAAAAAAATTAAATATATGTATATGTGCCACATTTTGTATGAATATCATTATTTGTTAATGAGTTATGTGCCTCTAAGTGTTTTTCTGGAGCGGACCTTGTATAGGAGCTATGACCAATTGTGGACCGATCAAAAAAAAAAAAAAAACACTAATATTTCTTTTATGTATATCTTAATTTAGTAACGATTTATGTGCGTTTAAGTGATTTCCATTAACATTTAAAGGTAACATTTGTGGCAATTTTTGTATTAAGTGTTTTTCTGAAGGGGACCTTGAGTGGGACATACGTCCAAATATGGACCGATCCGGAAAAAGCATCTACAGTAACATTTCTGTATATAAAAGATATATTTGTGGCAAATCTTGTATGGGTATCTTAATATAGTAATGAGTGATTCTCGGGAGGGGGCCAATTATGGACCGATCCAGAAATTTTTTGTATTACCATAAAACTTGTAAAATTTTTTAAAGATATCGACATTTAACCGAAAGTTATTAGCAATAATCTCATTTTCCGGGAAATTGTATATTTTTGTGGGATGTATATGAAGTTGTGGACCGATTCCGCCAATTTTCAGTTTTTTCGTAGTTTTTTAAAATTTTGATTCATATATTTTCCCGATGTTAACCGATTTTGCTCAATTTCAATACCAAACATCTTAGGTAAATTAAGAATTTTGTTAAATTCGATTGCTTTGTCTTGTCGTGAGCGTGTTTTACACAGACAGACGGTCATAGCTAGATCGATTCAGAATTTGATAAGGACCCAGAATATTTAAAGTTTGTCTCAGATGAATATGTATTGGTATTACATACGGAATAAAAAGGAAAAAAACCCTTTATCATCACTAATGGTGGTGGAGGGTATAAAAAAACTAATTCGATTTTTTTTACTTTCAAGTGCCTCTCTGAAATAGGCGTATACTTTTTATTTGTAATATCGATAAATCATTATCACGTATACGTGCAGGTGTCGTTAATAAAAGCTGTGCACTTTCACAATGTGAAACTTTCTACTTGAAATTAAGATATGGAGATGTAGTTTTTTGATTTTATATGTTCACAATTTTTATTCTTTATGTGAAGTTATCACTAGTCTATTGACTACATGTCTAATAACTAGTCTATTGAATAATGTATGGATTAGTTTATGGTCTTATCCAATGTTTGGGCTATGGACTAGTGTACGATCTAATATATTGACTAGTGTAAGGACTAATATAAAAGGCCCCTTCAGACGATCACACTTTACGTACGTAAAGTCTAATGAAAAAGTAAACTGAAATTCCATCCGTATGACAAAAAAGAGAATAAAAGTCGTATGATTTATATTTTTTGTGTTTGGTATAAAACAATAACAAAGTAAGATGGAAACAGCTGTTTCACTTTTTTTGTATGTGTTAATATAAAAATATATCCCTGATCTAATGCGACTTGCTTGTTTTTTGAATCATTTCAAAAAATGAAGAGTCCCATACGACTGTCAAATTTTCCATCCGTATTTTCTCTCAATGTGTGATGGTTGTCTTTAGACAAATTATTGACTATTCCATGAACCAGTCTATGAAATCATCTATTGATTAATCTGTTGACTAGTCCATGGACGATTCTATCAACCAGTCTATGACTAATCTGTTGACTAGTATATATTTAAAATGAAAATCTATTATTGGCCTACTGGCTAAAATTACTTTATATTATAGTAGTATATGATATAGTCGAGTTGATCTACTACTTGTCTATACTTGTTTTATTCTTCTTATATTTTATTAGTGTTGGTTGTGTGAACAAGAACGAGTATTAACAATTTTTTATGCAATGAATTTAAAGATTTTGTTTTATAAATTCTTTTATTTGTCAATTCACATTGCATTTCCTATGTTTTATGTTGCGGACTATAAAAATTGTTTGTGTATGTGTTGGGTCTTGTTTCCGTTATTTTGATTTAGCTAGGATTGACATTAACATAATATTGCAAAACTATTTAACTACGTATGTATATGTATAGTAGAAGTATGTATGTTCATATAAGCACTTGCTATCATGAACGTCAGAAGAATGTGTACATATACGACGTAAAATGTGTTTCTGGTGATATGAGGATCAATGAATTAACGATCGTTGCATAATCACACTTTAAACGGTACTCCCCGAAGACATTTGTAAATTGTAGATACTAATTACACTTAAAGTCTATATAACAAGTAATAATATTAGAACAAATATAATGAGAAAATATAAAATAAAAGTAGTTACATTTAAAGTGAATTAGATCTGTATAATATTTCAAACAATAGTTAAGAAAATTACTTCAAATAAAAACAAGTAAAAAATTGGGCGAGTCCGACTATATAATACCCTACACCTGTTACAAAAATAAAATGTGATTTAGTTTTCATAATAAAGCATTTAAGTTGAGTTGTACCTTGTCTCAGATATACTTAAGCCATTTATTGTTGAATAAAATTGTGGATATTTAAGTCAAATTTTGAAGGGGGCTTTTTATAGGGGCTAGGGTCAAATAAGGCTTATAATTATAAAATTCTTGGTTTTATAGCTTTTTGTCGAGATAGGAGTATATTAAACATAATTATGAACTTAAAATGCGGGTTCAGTTGTATGGGGGCGAGGTGAAATAATGGACCGATGTTAACCATTTTCAATAGGCTTCGTCTCCGGTACCATAGAAGATCATGTACCATTGAATTATCTCCAAAATTGCAACCTGTAGTTTGATTACAAGGTTTACAAGCCCTATTCGGGAGTTCAGTTGTATGGGGGCTAGGTGAAATAATGAACCGATCTTAACCATTTTCAATAGGCTTTGTCCCTGGGACAATAGAAGATCATGTACCAAATTTTATTGCATTATGTTCAAATTGCTACCTGTAGTTTGATTACAAGGTTTACATGTACGGACGGACGGACATAGCTAAATCGACTCAGAAAATGATTTTGAACCGATTGGTATACTTTATGGTGGGTATAGGACCAATATTATCGTGCGTTACATATATCAGCACAAACCAAATATACCCTCCCCACTAAAGTGGTGTAGGTTATAACTATATCCGGTTTTGAAGATAATATTCAATGTTATGAGCATTTCTTTAACGCTTGCTCTATGTTTTTAGATATTTTCGGCTGAGTTTATAGATACTACTATCGATGTGTAAGTTTAATATGTATTAAGTATTTTCTTTTTATATCATCTACTTGTATTGTATATAAACAAAAGAAGAAAGTTCGATTTAAAATTATAATTTAAAATCAACAAATTTACAAAGATAAACAAAACAAAATATACACTGTGGTACGGGTAGCTAAGATATTGTGTACAACATAAAACTGATATTATTGGTTCTATTTTTTTATACTTTCAATTTATATGGTAAATATAGTTTAAGTTATTGGATTTGTTATAATAGTTTTGATGTTATTGAACGCTTTTGTTACAAACTAAAAAAAATGTTGATATTATGGTTAAAGTTTGTTTTGTAAAATATTATATTGTTTTATGCAGAAATATTTTCACAACATAAATTTAATTAATATTTTAGTTGAACATATTCTTTGAAATTTGACTAGTTGAAGGAATTAGAGATGTTCAATGTACATTGCTTTTTGATTTTATCATATCGTATATAATACATGGTAACAGTGATCATAGACCTCGACTATCAAACTGTCTGTGTGTTATACTGCCTACAACGTCCACAAAAAAAGAGAATGAAAACTTTCAATGTTAATAAATATTAAATAGAAACGCTTTGTATAGAAAATGTGCATCTGAGACCCAACAAAGTTGCAGGTACTTATCGAATTCTGAGTTGATTTAGCTATGTCCGTCTGTCTGTCTGCCTAAAACGCGCTCATGTTAAAGCAAAATAAACAAAACAAATGAACCAAATTGATATCTTTAAAACATGTTGTCTTGGAGCAAATCGGATGATCTATGAGTTTCGACTTGTGTTATGAATAATTGAAGGCTTAAAAAAACATTAGAAAAAATGTTAAATCTTTCTAAAATTTTGTAAAATTTAAATTCCAAGGTGATTTAATAAAACGTTTATTTAAACATGTGCAATTTTACCAAAATACATAAAAATTTATTTACAATTTATAAGCACGTCTCATTACCAAATCAAAATAAGCATCATTATCAATGGAAGCACTTATAGTGGCATAGTAATTAATAAATTCCTCTTTAGTTACTTTGGCCTTTTGCTGCTCACCATCATCGTCATCAACAAAATTATTTAAAAATTGTTCAAGAATTTCGGTTTCTGTCAAATCACCACTCAAGTATTTTGGATGATTACGGACACAATAGATATTTTTTAAATCCTCAACTGTAATAACACCATCACAGTTACTGTCAATTTTTTCAAAAGCCTTATTAACGATATCCAAACGATTGCGGGTCATAGAGGGCTGAAAGGAAAATATTCAAATATAAATTATTTGTATTAAATATTTCACTTTGTTTATTTACCCTTAATTTAGTTAAAAATACACTAGTATTTATGGAACCATCACTGTTGACATCAAGACTATTAAAGAGTGTTTTAGTTTCATCCTCATTAAGATTAAGGCCAGATTTCTTTATGCCCTCTATAAATTCTTGCAAACTTAGGGTATTATTGGCATTTGTATCCATTTTGCGAAAGGTTCTAGAGTTAGGAATAAAATTAATTTTATTATAAGTTGTTTATTAGTTAAGGAACTAAACTACTTACTTTGCTAGTCCCAAAATACCAGCGGCACCTTTAGCGAAACACATTAGCCTTAGTTTATAAATTGGTTCCTTGTCCACTCCATTGGCCAATTCACGCTTGGAATTGTTTATAAGCGTGGCTTCTTTAGAGTAAAAATCATCGCGATAACTCATTTTCTTTGAATATATAATATATTTTGCAACTAATTAAAACGAAATTTGGAAAATAAAAAATAAAAATAATTTTGATTATTCAAAATTTAAAAGTTTCCTTGAATAAAAAAAATATCACAATTCTTTTGATTTTTAAACATTTGATAACTAAGTAATTTTCAAGAGAGCTCATGTATTTAAGGGAAGCATTGCTATGCATAGTAAACTCCTCAATATATGTACTGGTTCTAGACTTATAGACTCTCGAAATATTGATCCTAGAACCACAAAAGAAGATAAATTCAGGATCCTTATTATATCCATTGGTTATCTATTGAAAGATGATTATCGTGGTAGTTCACTGCGCACGAACAGTCAAGTAGAGTCAAAGAGACTCAGTTATGACCAGACCACTCTACTCGTCAGATGTAGTATTGTATAGTATTAGATGCAGCCTGTAGCAGTGAGAAATCTCAAGATATCTTTAAGCTTAGACCCAGATATCTCACCAAGGTTGGATATGAAGCTGCCAAGAAAACGGTTTCTCTTAACGGCTAGAGCAAGGCATTCACAGAGACGATGGAAGACCGTTTCTTCCTTTTCCCTGTCTTTGCAACTGTGACAGTACGCGTTAAAGGCCAACTTGTATGTCTGCCTAGCAACAAGTGTCATGTTATTACCGCTATCAATCTCGATATATCGCTATAACTTTGAGTTATAAGATGTCTTGTGCGTTTCTGATTGAAAGAAAGCCAAAATAACTTGGCCTTTTTACATGTGCCTAGGATATTCCATATATTTTTAGCCTTTTGGGGAATAATCTGATGATACTGATTTTGATAAAACCTAACGAATTTGCTACTTAAACGGTGTTGGAGATATAAAGAGCAGATCCCATTCTGGCAAGCTCATCTGTCTGTTCATTACCATAATATCTCCCTATGCGCAGGGGCCCAAACAAGGGTAATGTCAGACAGGCGACATTGTCTGACTAATAGGGAAGTGGTAGTATAGGAGTTTAGAGAAAGAAGTACCGCTTGACCGTCGTCAAAAATTCCTATATTGCCACGAATATTGAGATCGTATATTAGCCTAAAGGCTGACATTATCGCAAATATTTTAGCCTGAAAAACACTACAGTTGTTGGGAAGACGGTAAGCTTCTTCACAGAAGACACCAGAATCAACACCACAGTTCATTTTAGAACCATCTGTAAAGATTCTGGTGGTTCGCTCGGTTGGTTGCTTATACACAACTCTCTCGTAGTAGGAACTCTAACTGAAAACTCTACGAAAGTCCATGTGTGGGGTAATATAGTCAGAAGATTGGAGGTAGTAGGATTAAAATCTTAGTGTATCCATATGTTCTTGATCTCCATCTTCCATACGAGTTAAGCCTCGCTGCGCTGCAAGCAGATATGTCCATTATATGCAGGGCTTCTGAAAGACTAGTTCATGGAGCACCTATTATCCCAATGCATGCTGATCTCTGAACTTTATATACCTGACCTACAACAATTTTTTTCTTAATTGAAGTCCACCATTGAGAGATCCTTATATAAGAATATGACGTACTACGGCTGTATACATCCATTTAACTCTGTTGGAACTAAGCTTTCATTTTATACCAAAAATTTTATATCGGCGCCCGTTGCATTCTTGTCTCTGTGTTGGATGTTAAGTTTCCATGATAATATGGAGTCTAGGATGATTCCTATATATTTAGCATTGCTTGATAAGGGGATTTCGCAGTTCATTAACCGCGGAAATTTTAAGCTTGGAGTCTTGGATTTTTCTGTCTTGCTTGGGTTTACTCTCAGGCCGCTATCTGTGGCCCAGTTATTGAGTAGCACCAGAACATTAGACAGAATATCGTTAATCCACGTTGTTGTCTAGTTTAATAAGAATCGAGTTAACTCCTTCCCTATGGTGTGCCTCTCTTCACTTGTTTGGACTTGGCGCTTAGCAAGTGCTTGCTCAATTGCAGAAGTATTTACTTTATTGGAGGCACCTTCTATGTCTAAGAGGGCTCCTATTGTATACTATTTAAATTCCAGGGATCTTTCTATAACTCGGACAACCTCAAGTAGAGCTGTCTCTGTAGATCGTCCTTTAACGTTTTTACGGACTACAAGACCAGAAGAATAAGTACATTTTTACAAAACTGAACAGAGGGTATGTTGGCTGGTTGAAAGCCGTGATGAGATCTCTAGTCGATGAGCCTTTCCAGTGTTTTGAGCTGAAAAGATGAAAGGCTAATAGGAGGAAAGTCTTTCACATTCTTAGAATTCTTTTGCTAGCTTTAGGAATAAAAATTACCTTAACCTATCTCCAATCAACCAGAACATAGTTGAAAGAGAGGCTAAGCTTGAATGTTCCATGAAGCCAAGAGATGATATAGGTCCTGTCATGGGAGATGATATTATAACTGATTACCGAACAAACGAAGATTTAAAGCTCCAAAGAAATGCGCTGTTGATAAAGTTTGTTTGGTACTGAAAACAGAAAATATCGGTCCTTGTTCCAAACAAATGTCCTTACATCTCTGTTATTTCTGTTATTTATACAGCATTCGTGATAACATTTCTTAGAAGTTATCGAAAATTTTAATATCTATAGTGGCCATGGTCCACTTATAAGGACCATGATCTTCTTAGACTTAAAATTACGACTCATCAGTTTATTGTAAATCAAAAATTTGTTATACCGTCAAAAGATCCTAGCTTAATCATTTAGAAAAGTATAATTTAGTCGTTAATTCGATTGGTTTAAAAAAACATTTTACGATTGCATTAGATATCAATCATTTATTGAGTAAAAAATAACTACAGTCAAGCTTTTTTCCAACTGCTCTAATTATAATTAATTTTCCTACTCAATTACTCTTTGAAAAAACAAGTTATATCAAGTGGTTGCAGGACACGACACATTTTAATTAACCATCTTTTCACTAAAAGGACTTACAAATAAATCAATATTTCTATTATTTGCAATAGTTAAAAGTACCTTTTCCTTATTTTTTTATTGTTGAAAAATTATAAATATTTTTTTTTAATAAAGCGACTTGTTACACGTGGCAAATGTATATTGATACTGTGCTATGAAAACAAATTGTTCACAACAATATTAAAGAAAACTTGCAACAAGCAGCGTATACAAAAAATACACATGAAATACAAATCCAACCTATTATTTTCATTGAAAGTCAGCATGTAGTCTAGAAACTAAATAAGGCATCAAATAGTAATAAAAACAACAACTAATGCAAATACGTATTTGAGAAATTCTAAGGCGGTAACTACTAAATATAAATACATCAACCACCCCATAGAGAAGATAAATTTTCCATTGTCATATTTTATTTAGTTGTCGTTATAAATGTTAATTTTACCAATATTGGGCATAAGATATTTATATAGAAATCAAAATTCAAAGAACTATTAAAGCTTGTTGAAACAAACATATTGAACATACATTCAAATTAATGTATTTAAGTTAAACTGGGTGGGGTTTATATTTTTACTGTTAACACTATGGCAACCACAGGGAGTTGTTTGTTTTATTCTACACTATTATAGTGTTGAGGGTTTTATGCACAGAAAAAATTATCGGTAGTTTATTTTCAATTAACATGTTTTCCTCTTTCTTTAACTTTTATTTAAACAATTTTTTAATTGTCATAATTATCTCATTGTTTTAATCCTAAGTATACAAATTTTATTAAACTTTTAATTGAATTAATTAATTTTTTAATTGGCTGAAAAAGTTTTTCCAGCCTACTTTTTATTTTGGTTTTTTGTTTTGATATTTTATTTAAATAGTTTCATTATTTATAATGGCAAATATGTTTATAATTCTCAAATAGTCAATAATATTTTAGGCATAAGAAGTTGAAGTTTCATAAATATTTTAAAATTTTTAAATCACTTTATTTGTTCAAATGTGACAATAAAGAGATATTTTTGAGAGTGCTTATCGCATTGTTAAAGGTAATGTAATCCTTTAATGTTGTAAGCATTCAATTAATGATTTGATTATTTCAATCATCGACTTAATTGATTTTTCATACATTTTTAACCAAACTGTTCAATTAATTTGATTAATAAACTAATTAAAATGTAAGTTTTATTTTATTAAATATTTAATTTATCCAATTAATGAATAATTTTGAATTTAATTACTGATGTTAATTGTTTTGATTATTTCTTTAATTGGAAAAAAATATATTTTTACAAATTTCATAATTGATATCATCATTTTGTTGATAGGTGCAAAATATGCTTGATGCAATCAATTTGATAATTAAAACACATTTTCAGTTTTTTCTGTGTGGTTATATTTTCATATTTTAACTATGCTGAAAAAATTTTTAAACTCTCTGATAACTTCAATGATAACCTAAAAAATAACGCTCCAAATATTCTGAAATTTCTTATACAAAATTTTAAAACCGATGTCTTTTGATCGTGATGAAATTTGCAATGTTATTCCTATTATAATTTTCAACAAGATCTGTCAAGAACTCTCTGAGTTACTGTAGGTTAAAGTTTGTTTCTCATTCCATTTGAAACATTTTAATATTTCCTGAAAATCGTCAACTATATTATAATGCACTCATGCTTTCTTAAGACTAAGAAAAGCGCCTTTAAAAACTTTACATGTATTAGGTACCTTAATTTGAGCCCTCATAGCTATGTTCATTTCAAATTTTATTCCGATTGGGGTATTTATTAAATTAAAATATGATCAGAATCCCCATTATAAGCCTCTAACAGAAAAGACGGCAAATTTCTCTGCATTGTATAGGTTTCATCCAGACATATTTTCCAGTTCGTCTTGGAATCTCTTTCCTAGCAATTTTTGTTGATACCCCATATTCTTCAATAATAGCTCAATCGTTTTTAACTCCTCAACATCCCCATATAACCTGGTATTGTCTCATTTTCAAACAAACGACATAATTGAACAATGCTCAGTTAAACTACCTATCAGAGTGTTTAGACTACAACTATTTGGTTACTCTTACATCTAGTCTTGGTCATAATGCCTTTGATACTTTACTCTTTCCGAACTAGTTAATAATTTCCAGATTAGTTAATCTTTTATAGATTTTCCTATAATAGTGAATAGCAGTTATTTGTGCACTATCGTGTCCCGTTGACCACTTTTTCGTAGTAATATCTCTCAAATAAAAAAATATACTTTTTGAAAAGGACATCAGCTCCTACCAGCGATTGAAAATTTTGATCTTAATACAATAGGCTTAAAAAAATTCTACGATTCGACATGGGTATCAAAATTCCATAATTTTGAGCTCCTATTTGAAACTTTGGTAAACATACCAGTCTGGTTCTGTCGGTAAATACTGAACACCTGAGATAGAAATCGAGGCACATCTTTGGGTTTATTGATTATATTTTTCCCATATTTTCGCATCAGACAATACATCCCTAAGTAAGAATAGGTCTGACAACCGATGTGTCGATCCAGTTCATCACATTTCGTTGCAGGCCGAAAATCTTCCCAAAGTAGGCATAAAATCCCTTCAGCATTATTTCCTGTTTATTTTACTTCTAATATTGACCACAATGAAAAAGGTCCAATTTAGAATATCGTAAAAGTCCACGATCATTTATAACTTTCATTAACAGCAAATTATAAGAAATGGCTAAACACAACTTATTATTATACTCATCATCAAAAAAGATGGGGGCATATTAATTTTGTCATTCTGTGTGTAACACATCGAAATATTGCTCACAGACCCCATAAAGTATATACATTCTGGGACCATATAGCGATGAATTTTGACACACATAAGTCTTAAGCAAGCCAATATCTCTCCAAACAATTTTATGTGGATCGGTCGATAATTGACCCTAGCCCCCATAGAAGGTCCCCTTCAGAAAAGGACTTTAACGCTCATTACTCGTTTAAAAATACAAGTATAGCTATGAAATTTTACATAAGAAAGTGTCTTACTAGCCAACACCTCTCTATAAAATTTTATGTGGATCGGTCCACAATTGAACCTACCCCCATATAAGACACCTTCAGAAATGGTTTTAAACCTCAGAACTATTTTTTATGTCTCTGCAAAATTTTGTGGGGATCGGTCCATAATTGTTCTTACTCCCTATTTAAGGTTCTTATCAGAAAATCACTTTAAAGCTTATTAATGGCTTAAAAATGCGAGTACAGCGATGAAATTCGACACTGATAAGTTCTATAGGAACTGAAATCTCTCTACCAATTTTTATGAGGATTAGTCCATAATAACACCACCCCATATAAATTCACCCTAAGAAAATGCAATTCGACATAAACTAATTTTGAGCTAAAATCTCTTAACCATATTTTGATGGTGGGTATAAAAGTTTCGGCATAGCCGAATATAACACTCTTACTTGTTTTTAAATTAAGACAGCGAGTACTATGTACTAACGCTATATAACACAGAAAAAATGATCGGTAGTTTATTTTCAATTAACATGTTTTCCTCTTTCTTTAACTTTTATTTAAACAATTTTTTAATTGTCATAATTATCTCATTGTTTTGATCCTAAGTATACAAATTTGATTAAACTTTTAATTGAATCAATTAATGTTTTAATTGGCTGAAAAAGTTTTTCCAGCCTACTTTTTTATTTTGGTTTTTTGTTATGATACTTTATTTAAATAATTTCATTATTTATAACGGAAAATAATTCTCAAATAATCAATAATATTTTAGGCATAAGAAGTTGAAGTTATATAAATATTTTAAAATTTATAAATCACTTTATTTGTTCAAACGTGACAATAAAGAGATATTTTTGAAAGTGCTTAACGCATTGTTAAAGGTAAAGTAATCATTTAATGTTGTAAGCATTCAATTAATGCTTTGATTGTTTCAATCATCGACTTTATTGATTTTTAATAAATTTTTAATAAAACTGTTCAATTTATTTGATTAATAAACTAATTAAAATGTAAGTTTTATTTTATTAAATATTTAATTTATTCAATTAATGAATTAACTAATTTTAAATTTTGAATTTAATTACTGATGTTAATTGTTTTGTTTATTTCTTTAATTGGAAAAAAAATATTTTTTTACAAATTTCATAATTGATATCATCATTTTGTTGATAGGTGCAAAACTTGCTTGATACAATCAATTTGATAATTAAAACACATTTTTAGTTTTTTCTGTGTAATGTAGTATTCGCAGTCTTGAATTTTAAATCACTTAACACATAGTTTAATGGACAAATAGTGTTAAAATCTTTAAGAAGTGAAGTGTAACATTTATGTACATTAGGGCGGCCCAAAAATGGAAGTTGCTGAAATACTACATATTTCAAAAATGCTATACCAAAATTTCATATCTTTCCTTTGGAAGAAATAAGAAAAAACCATTAAAACCGCAAAAAAAAAAATATTTTTATCTTTTAATATAGCTCACCAAATATTGATCCCAGGACAATAATTTTGAGCAACTGTTTTATAGAATCAATTAAACTTGAATTTTATTTAAGAATATTAACACTTTATTTTTTTTCATACAAACGGCGCCACCCTAACATACATACTTAAGGTTAGTTTAAAATAATTTCATTAATGTTATTTATCCAATCAAGCGCAAAACATCAAATGCTTATTACTTTGTACATAACAACTAGTGTTCACCTTTTTTAATTAAAACCAAACAGAGACAAATATTTAGAAAATATTATAAAAAACAAGTTAGAGTGCTATATTCGGTTATGCCGAATCTTAAATACCCTCCAACAGCAAGCTGCTTTTTATTAAAACCCATTCAACTATCTAATTTTTAGATAACTTACCAAATTTTTTGTCGAATTAATTTTGATTAGGTCCAGAAAAATGTATATTAATAGGCCAGATAGAAAACATTTTAATAGAATGATTTATCTATACACTCAAACATACTCATGTCGAATTTTATCCGGATATAATCATTTAATAACGAATTAAGTGTTATTAAGTGATTTTCAGAAGTTAACCTTACATGGGAGTTAAGACAACTTATGGACCGGTGCGTATAATGATTTATGTATATGTATACATATATACAAAATACATATT